AACTTATGAGCCATGAAATCATTACCTGAGCCGAAGTCGGACACTTAACCGACTGAGCCACCCAGATGCCCCATCCAATCTTTTCCTTCTGTTAGTGCTTACCTAGGCTCTACCTCTCCAGTTACAGAAAGTAAAGTGCCTCCACGTGGATCATTTGGAGCATCTCCTAGTAGACCTCGAGGAGTTGGGACGTTGGCAGGCAAGGGACCACGCTGCATAGCTGCTCTGGGGTCCTGCATTGGCACTGACAGGAAAACAAACGGAGTTACTGTTGTGAAGGACACATAAGAAAAACAAGAAATGACTCTATATAACCACTGACAACATAATTCAGACACCTGAGAGTGGGTGAAACCTCACCACAGCAGACTCCTCTTGCAGCTCAAGAACAGAAGCAGGGTGTAGGCAGAATCTGTGCCATGTCAGAGGTATGGATGGAATTATATAAAGAGCAAAGTGGGGAGCAACCTGCCAAGGACTAGCACTGCAACCTGAAGAAATTTATGCTCCTGGTTCTCCTTATAATCAATCTTAGTTCAAGGACCAGAGTCACAAAAGAGAGGTAGGGTCTTGGCATTATGTGAACACTGCCATGGCTCTGCAAGAACCTGCTGTCTCCTTACAGACTGCTATTCCATCCAAGCCTCCTGACACCAGTAGGGAGGGAGTACAGCCTCGGACAGATGCCCATATCATCCATGTTCTCTGCCCTGTGTGAAGAGGTCAATCTTAGGCTTGTGGCCCCAACAGGAAAAAAATTTAAAAACAAAAACCCAAAACACTACCCTTTTGGGTTCCGAACGTGAGGATGACTGCCAAGCAGCCCTTGTCCTCTCAACGTCCCACCCTGAACACCACAAACAAAAGGAAACCCGCAGATACAATGGGTACCTTGAACTCGCTCAATTGATGCAGGCCCGGCGGGTCCCACGGGCGAGTGCTGTAGGGTTCCTAGGTGAGCAGTAAGTTCAAAAGGAGAAAGAGCAGACACTTGAAACAGCTTGCGCATGTGCGCACACACAGAGAAACATACACATACAGACGCTGGAGATTTATACACGTAAGTTACAAAGCCAAGGAGCCTGCCCCAGGCTACAAAATGTTCCTGAACTATATTAGCTTCTTTGGGATCTGAAATTGTTCTGCTGTGATGAGATTACCTCCTAAGTTGAAACCTGTCAGCCAATGATTTTACTCAGCCACTTTCGATTTTTGCCTCTGCTACTACAAGTCCACCTAAATCTCCTTATATCACTACAAAAAAAAGGAAACAAAATAAAAAAAAGGATGGTTCTGAACCCCTACTTAGGCAAAGAACATAAACATACGTTCATAAGCAAAACATGAAAGAGACTGTACTGAACCTAGAAGGCAAGATTTATTCTGAAGAGGCCCATAACACAAGTTGGACAGTACTATATTTACCATATTTTTAAGCACAAAAAATTCCATGGGAAATGCAGTGAGTGAGCTTTAGACAAAGAAAGATAATATCGCCCCTCAAGAAATACTCTGCCACTGCAAGTCTCTAGTAATAATGAAACATGACAACAGCAAACAAAGACTAATGAGATGACAAGGGTGCTAATACTACACAAAGGTGGCGGAAGGCAAGAAGTATCTTTTTAAACATGTCACTGTCTCCTTTTACCATTACAAATGCGTATAAGAAGCATGGATTCCAGGAAAAGAAAAACTGGGTACAAACGGAAAGATTCTTGCTTCCTCTGCTAAGTACTGAAGACAAACTATAAAAGAAAACTCATCTCACTTTATCTCTTCAAGAAGACACACCTATCTACCTTCAAAATCCAAGTCATTTCCCTTTGCTAACTTTTGACCAGAAAGGTGAAGACAATTATAGCAGGAAAGAAGATGTCTTGTGGAAGTATGCATTAAACACCTAAAGCATGACTGATTGATTGATGGCTTGGGAAGAAGAATATGACTGCAACCCCAATTTCTCCCTAATGCAAAAATATTCTGGGATACACATACGATCTGCTGATAGTGGCCGAGAGGGAGGGGCACAAAGCACGAAAGCACAGGCTGCTTTAGATGAGACATTTGGTCAAGAGCTTGGTCCCACTGTCAATTATCTGACAAGATTATTAGTTCTGTCACTTCAACAACCAACCCCAGTGGACAAACTAT